AAAACCTCCTGCAATTCCAGTCTTTTACAATCCCAAAGTTGAGACTTGCAAACTCATTTCATTTTGGAAAGACAGCATTTCCAAATGCACAGCACGCAGACTCCTATGTGGGAGAATCTCCTAATTTCCTGGGACATTTTTAATCTCTAGTGAGACACTTTAGTAGTAACCTTAGTACAGTATCTGTTATCTGAATCCTTGCATTAACATGATGGAGTTATTTGTCTTGTATTTGTCAGGTGCACACATAGGTGAATTTCATCTAAAGGGACCATAATCATTACAGTTACATATAACAAGCATTAACAGCTTTACTCGTTTATAACCTATTTTATTCAAATATGGACCAGACAAGAATTATCCTGGAGATTTAACTGTGTGGAATGTTCGAAGAGGCAGCAATTAGCTATTTAACCAAGAGGGGCACAAAGAAACATGAGAAACTAATCAAAATTTCAATGCAGGGCAATTTGTTAATGACTTGGAACTCAAATGTAGTTTGGTTAAGTTTCTTCAAACTTTCCAGAAAAAAAAACCATAGCCTTCAGGGGAAATCTAGTATTTTTTTAAGCTCAATCAATTTTGCTAGGCACAGCTGTAGCTGCGTAAAGGCTAATAATAGGCTTATAAAGGAACCTGGTTGCAACCTTACTTATGGAAAGGTGATCATCTTTCCATATTACCTCTAAAGCCAAGGATTACGTATGGTTCTATAAATGTACTTCAGATGTTCCACCCTGCATGATATTCAGATGAATATTCCTGTAATAGAAGAGCTCAGCGTGGAAATAAGTAGTAGGTTCAAGCACTGTAGGGGTTAAGCAACTAAACTCAGAACTAGTTCTCTTGCATCTGAAGAGGATGATCTTGTTTTCATGAAAAAAGCTACAGAGGGTCCTGTGGCACCTTTAAGACTAACAGAAGTATTGGGAGCATAAGCTTTCGTGGGTAAGAACCTCACTTCTTCAGATGCAAGAAGAAGTGCATCTTCTTGCATCTGAAGAAGTGAGGTTCTTACCCACGAAAGCTTATGCTCCCAATACTTCTGTTAGTCTTAAAGGTGCCACAGGACCCTCTGTAGCTTTTTACAGATTCAGACTAACACGGCTACCCCTCTGATACTTGTTTTCATGAAGTTACCCAATCTTTAAAGTATTTCATGATACTCTGTTTGAAATAATCCTCCCTCCCCCAAACTTATTACTAGTCTGCTGTGATTGATGGCAGCACTTAAGAGTCCCCATACCTAAAATCAATGTAGACACATTTTCACTCTGGGATATCGATGACTCTTTGATTATCCACAACACGGGTAGCTGTGAGATGCCACTTCAATCTTTACTTTGCTCCATCACATTGGGGAGTCTTTCGCAGCTGCTCTGCACTTTGAGCACTGTTAATCACGGAACACCACACTCAATGGTAGAGAGTTAGCGCAGACCCAAAAGGGCTCTTTAAAACCACAGCTGGGCAGAATCCCTAGGGCTATGTTCAGGCTACTAATGGGCTACGGTTTGGTTCAGATAGCAATAGTGATAGTCGATTTCATTGGAGGAGCTGAAGGCACTTTGCAAACATTAACTGATTTCTGTGCCTCACCCCCTCAGCATTCAGAAATCAGACTTATCATTATGTCTTTGCAAGCTGAGGAGGAAATCTCATGAGACCAGGCTTGTCTATGAGACGTGTACTATGTCCCTGCTTCCACATAGGCCAGAAAGTGTGGGAGTGAGGGGTGTGAATACTTTAGAGAAGCACATTAATCACTGACACAGACTCCACAGAAGGACAGATACAGTATTAACCAGCAAGAGTAACTGGGCAACATGAATGTACATGTGCAAACTGGGCTACTTAGCAGAGGGCTCCAATAGTAAAATCTGAACAAATGCGATCTCCCATTTCTTTCTGTGCTTTTTTTCACTATTATTGTTTATAGGGTGGTTGGCAATCTGCAAAACACAGAAGATGCTATGATCTCTGCCCTAGTGGCATTGTATTCTAAGGACTAAATTATGGCTATCCCAGGCAGTGGTGTGGAACATGCATTGAAGAGGAACATTGCCCAAGTTGTGGTGGCTGGAGGTATAATGCCTCTAGAACCATTGGGGGGAAGCGCAATCAGAAGCGGCTCTAGATTGAACATTCTAGAGATGGCAGGTACAGCACTCCTGCCACACTACTGAATGTACCTGAGGTGCTCCTGAGTATCCTGCCTGTGTCTGTGCAGAACACATCCGCTCTGATACTAAATGTCCCAGGTATGTCAAGGTAGAAATTAGAATGCACCTGCTGGGTGGCCCAATTTTCCAGGCATCTCTGGGCGATACTTACTTTGCCTACAGTGTTCTAAAAGCAATAAGCCAGATCCTCAGCTGTGGCCAAACTGCAGAGACCCAAGTTGTGACGTGTGTGTGTGTGCGTGCATGTGCACACGCATGCAAAGGCAGCTTACTGCTCACCTTTACACTGCTCTGATATTACTGCTTCTCTGTGCAGGCTGGTGATAGAACAGCCTGTGGGCAGCTCTAATTTGTGCTGAACTGCAATGGCTACCCAAGGCCAAAATACACCTGAAGGATTGGCGTGGTTTAGGGGCACGACAACTACACTGCCTTTCTTCTGGCCATGCCATTTTCCCTGCTACCCTGGCAACAGATGATTGAGTGGTGTAAGTGTCTCTGTGCCTGCTCTACTGCTGGAAGATCACTTGTACATGGAAATGATCCTCCCTGAGATGGTTACACTGGCTTTAGAGACAGGTTACACTGGCAGTGTAGTGCACAGCAGCCATACTGCACCTGAGATTCTGGTCTAGCATGTCCAGGAATATGGAGATATACCTATCTCATAGAACTGGAAGGGACCTTGAAAGGTCATCAAGTCCAGCCCCCTGCCTTCACTAGCAGAACCAAGTACTGATTTTTGCCCCAGATCCCGAAGTGGCCCCCTCAAGGATTGAACTCACAACCCTGGGTTTAGCAGGCCAATGCTCAAACCACTGAGCTATCCCTCCCCCCAAGGAAGAACACACCTTTTTAAACTGCTATATAAGCAGCCAGGCTCAGGCATTATCCACATGCCAGCCTGGTGATTATTACATGTATGTCTGGTTGAACACATCTACTATTACTTAATGTTCCAGGAATACTCTGCAGATACCATTGTCATCAATGGAATGCTAGTGGGTTATGACGGCACAGCACATGTGAAGGAATGCCACCAGGGAAAGAGCTGTGTGTGAATTTCTCAATCATTTTGTATTTTTAACCTTGTCTTCTGTGACCAAATGCTAGAGATTTGGGGGGAGGAGGGTCACACAAAGGTTGTTACTGCAGGTAATGAGGTGCCTTGCTGCCATCAGCTGTCTCTGTTGAATATCAGCTACAAAGTAAATACCTTACATATAGTTGTTCCTGTTGTTTGCCAGTATGGTAACAGTATGGTAAATCTGCTGAAGCTGCAGAACAAAGGGGAGAGGGATGCAGTAGGCAAAGACTTCCTATCTATATCTGAGTCTGCTGAAGGTCTTAGCTTTGACCCAGTCATACAATATGACAGTATATCAATACATAACTGTCAGCAACAAACCTCGGCCAGCAGTTCTTAACTAGATGGTCTCTGGCTCCGTAGTTTTATATTTCAAATCTCTCAGGTTACTCTGGGTGAAATCCTGAAATTCTTACTCAATTTCCACTCAGGCCTTATTCAGGCAAAAGTCAATAGGGATTTTGCCTGTACAAAGACTGCAAGATTTGAATGGCTGGACCTGATTCTCTTTTAGTCTAAAGCCACTTTAGAAACACTCTAGCAGTGTAAATGGGCCTTAGAGTGGGAGTAAGCTAGAGTGGCAATAAGTTGCCTGAGAGATAAATGAGACTCAGGCTGATTATATTTAATTTGCCTTTTTCCCCACTATTCTAAACCATCAGGATGCTGTCTGAAGACAATGATAAAAAATGTAAAGGCTGCTTCTCAGTTACATGTAGAACACGTAAACCGGGCATGAGCCTGGTTCTCCACTGCCCTGCACTTTGTGCCATCATGTATACCAGTGTAACGTGAATGCGGAGTGGCTGTAGGTAGAACACCACCATTCTGATTTAATGGTGCTTTTACATCTACTTTGCTCCAGGGTCGCATTAGTGTAAATGACTGCCCAAGATGCACAGCAACAGAGGATTAGACCCATTAGCGACCACCCATATTACAAAGCCCATTGTCTTTTTCCATGCACAACTCCATAATTTGCAAACACAACTCAGGCATATCTTTTGTTTTTATATCCTATTCATTTGTTGCAAGGTTGGGACTGTTTGGTTTTGATTGGATTTACCAATACAAAGTTGCTCTTCTAATCCAATCTCACACCTTCCCACCACGCCTCTGCATTTATTGCAGATACTTCTTTTCCACCCCATCTGAGAAAGGTGGTCACATGCAGAAATTTCCAGCAGATGAGATCTCTGCATTTCAAGGATCCATCCTTCATAGTGTAGGGAGAAGGAGAAAGATGGCTGTCTGCCATCTGTATGCACCAAAAGCAGTCTGTTGTAGGTTGGTATTGCAATATAAACATCATCATCATCATATCACAATGCAAATTTCCCGACCCTCATGAAACAATGTCAAGGCTGCTGGTCCTGAGCTGGGCAAAGTTGAGGGTCATTTGGCAGACTCAGTCAGGGTTGGTTCATACAGGCTGAGGTTTATGTTCCTGGAGCTGTTCACCCAGCCTTGGTTACACCATGTACACTCTGAATTTGGATACAAATACTTTGGGAGGAACAGGCCAGACTGGTTTTATTTACTCTTGTTCCCTTCTGTAACTACAGGAGAGATGGACCTGAAGAAAAACCTACATCTGAGCACCCCTGACCTTTGAGGAAGTTTGGATCTAGGTCTGAACTTTACAGATCAGGCCCATCTCCACTGGTAATTAACAAATGGTGTATCTGTTTCCCATTAAACTCTAACCTAATTTTCTCTTTTTCTTAAAGGATGATCCCTGCTACAAACAAAGCCTTTGTGGTGAACAACCTTGTATCTGGAACGGGCTATGATCTTTGTGTCTTGGCCATGTGGGATGACACTGCCACAACACTCACAGCCACCAACGTCGTGGGGTGTGCCCAGTTCTTCACAAAAGAGGACTATCCTCAGTGCCAATCCATGCACAGCCAGTTTCTGGGTGGGACGATGATCTTAGTCATTGGAGGCATCATTGTGGTGACTCTACTGGTGTTCATCGTCATACTCATGGTCCGGTATAAAGTTTGTAACAATTCCCAGGGGAAGATGGCCAATGTCAGCAATGTCTACTCACAGACTAATGGAGCTCAACCTGTTCAAAACGGGGTCCTGCCCCAAGTCAACCCCAAAGTGGTGGTAAGAAATGAACTCATGGAGTTTAACTGTGAATCTGTACAGAGCAGCATCTCCTCCTCGTCTAGTTCAGTGAATAGCCGCGACTGTGATGATTATAGCCTCCAAAGTGAACAAGGCACATTGTCCAGTAAGTGGAGGCCTCCTTCTAGGTCAAAACATAACATTGATCGGCTAATGGGAGCTTTTGCCTCCCTGGAACTGAAGTGTCAGAAAAAGGAGGACACGGTAGACTCCAGAACTTCCACAGTGGCCCGCCACTCGGACAAAGAGCCGCTTCTGGGCCAACAGGAGTCAAAATTCCGAAGTCTCCTCATGTTACCACTGGAGGGGAAAACTAAACGTAGCCATTCTTTTGACATGGGGGACTTTGCCACATCTCAATGTTGCACCTACCCCAAAAAGATAACCCATATTTGGACAAAGCGCAGCCTCTCGGTGAATGGCATGCTCTTGCAGTATGATGACAATGACTTAGCCGGGGCGAAAGGGACTTATGGGAGTTCAGAATGGGTAATGGAAAGCACAGTGTAAATAAGAGCTTCTCCCCCCCTCGCTTCTCCCTAATTACATCAAATGTAATAAAATTTGGCTTTGTTGAAAAGCCATGAAAATGAAAAGGGGGGAGGGAATATGCTCAACCATGTTGGAGAAAAGAAAAAAGAGAGAGAGAGAGAGGTAAATAAAAAAATAAGATAACAAAAGAGGAAAAAGGTAATGAAATGCTAATAAGCACCTGTGGCCCCATTAATGTCCGGTCCCAACAAAACGGAGTGTGAACATTTCAAGGAATTTACCAGTCGTATTTAGCGTTGCTTTCCAAAAGTCTCCTAGCCTCCCGGTGACCCGACAAACAAGCTTAAACGAGGATTAAAGTGGGTTTAGCAGCACATATTTAATTCAAAGGGTTTGGGGGTTTTTCCTTCCCTTTTTGGTAACCTGTGAAGTACACTCCCATGGATAGAAGACTGATGCAAGTATGTCACTGGCTGTAATTGCGCGTGTCATCACAGAACTACACTAAGGGCATCTGTGGGGGCAGAACAGATCGATTTTTCAGCTTAATCTCTTGGTGTTATCAAAAACATATGGAGATTTCTCTCCCACCCCCCGTTGTTGGGCTGAGGGGGTTTTTGGTTGGGGTGGTTTTTTGCAGGAAAAAGGGATTTCTTTTTTCCTTTTTGTTTTTATTCTATCATCAAATCCCTGTGATGAAACCAAGGATATGTACAAAGATTAAACTCTCGACGTGTACTGTATAACCCGCCTTCAACACCACCCTTTATGTCCTGGGAAAATGAAATCTAGGGGGGCTAATAAATTTTAAAAATAATCATCTTTCTTCCATCTCCTTCATGGTCGCTGCTTGTCAAGGCAGATTGCAACAGCTATTCATATCAGTGGGGGTTTTGCTATCCCGGAGGGGGGAAAAAATTCAAGATTTCATATAAAAGGCAAGAGAGAGGCGAAAACAAAAGCTGCTCCGGTGAACTCTACACATTATTAATACAAATTGCTGCTGGCCAAGGTTATTCTGTCACTCTGTTCGACTGATAAAGAAAATGCAGACTTTAGCTCATTTGCAACAGAAAGCTCTTTGTCCAGTCAGTCGCCACAACAGGGCGTGTCTGTATCAGTAGCATTGCAGGAAGTGCAGGTCTCTGAGCATTTCAGGGGATTATAAGTGTAATGGGGATGTTCCTATTTAGCCACGGAAAACAAGTTAGAATTGGATGTCACAGAATAGATGGTCTCCCAAGTGTCACCTGCATCTTGCCCCTTCACCTACTCCCAGACCTCTGTCCCATCCCTTGCAAAGGTACTTGCTACCTGAGACCAATGGTGGTTCTTTATGGCTTGTAAACTGATTTTCAAGTTCCTTTTGGGGGAGCATTGCTGCGGTTCTGGGAATGCTGTGGGTGCACGTGGTCCATCCACCTGGCTCCATTGTCCTTAGTGACTTTAATGTGATTTCCAATATTTTGGTGGCTACAGCAACTGTCTTTATTTAATTTGTTTATTTATTTGTTTGTTCCCAATGATCTGTCAGCTGGGAAGCATTTTGAAATTGCACATTATTATTATTATTTTATAACAGACGTGTGGAGAAAGGTTGTAAGGCACAGAGGAAAACCACAAAAAAACCTCTATGTATTTTTTTTTTTTTTTTTTAAGATTCAGAGATATATTGTGACATGGCTATGTACTTGATCTTGTATTTGTCATGTTTCTTACTTGGAGTTTTAGACAATGACATCGCTGTGATCAGAATATTATTTTCTTTTTAATTTTTCTTTTTTTTTGCTACAAAATGTACAGTAAAAACAAAACATTCCTGGGGAAAAAAGCACCTTCTTTTCATTTGTTTTAATGTCTTGTGTTTTGCTTTGAAACCTAAAGAAGCATTAATATTTTTAAAGAAAGAAAAAGACCTTGAGACATTTTCTCTCTTTGTTGTTTCGTGTGCTGAAAGATATTTTTCTTTGGGTGAAAGTCATCTCTAATCAGAGGTATTCAGTGGTGAACAGGCCCTTTGCATAAGGATGAATATCATGCTCTGAGAACCTGATCTAAACTTGGCTATATCGCTTAGGAGTGTGATGTATCTACACTGCATTTGGGAAGTGTGATTTCATGGTTAGATGTACCCAAGCTCGCTTTGATCTAGCTAGCTTGAGTAACAATGGGCATGAAGCTGCAGCAGCACAGGGGGTGGTATAGGTGAGCTTCTTGAGCATGTACTCAGGTGCTGGGCAAGCAGGGCTATCCTATGCTACTACCTGTGCTCCCTCCTATTGTGGCTCAAGCTAGCTTTGATTTAGCTAGCTCAGGTATATCTACACATGCTGCAATCACACCTTCTGATTGCAGTGTAGACAGACCCACACACAGTTATGCTGATATAGGCCCTAGCCTGGATGCAATTATGCTGGTATAACTGTACTTAGAGCAGTATAGCTTATGTCATTCCCCATATACCAATATCAACACAGTTATACTGATGTAACTTCATCCACCCTTGGAGCGTTTTGCCAGTTATTACCAGTATAACTATACCAGCAAAACCCTCTTAGACAAGGCCTTAGATGCCTTTTAAAAGAAAAGCTACAGTCATTAATAATAATACTTTGTATGGACCCAATCCTGAACTGTTTGCTGTAGTAAAACTCCCACTGACTTGAACACACTAGGCAGCTTGTGCATGGATGTGTAGTGTTCGGTGCAAAAGACTAATAACTAACATGTCCTGATGTTTCATGGTGTGTTGTGAGAGTTAAGTAATGTTTACAGCAGGGATCGGCCACCTTTGGCACGCGGCCTGTCAAGAAAATCCGCTGGCGGGCCAGGACGGTTTGTTTACCTGCAGCATCCGCAGGTTTGGCCGATCGCAGCTCCCACTGGTCACAGTTTGCCGTTCCAAGCCAATGGGGGCTGTGGGCCGAGGGATGTGCTGGCCGCCGCTTCCTGCATCCCCCATTCGCCTGGAATGGCGAACCACAGCCAGTGGAAGCTGCAATCGGCCGAACCTGAGGACGCCACAGATAAACAAACCATCCTGGCCCACCAGCGGATTTCCCTGACAGGCCGCATGCCAAAGGTTGCCGATCCCCGGTATACAGAGTGCCTCAAATATAAGATATGAGATATACAGTGGGTCTGATCCTCCGCTGCTGTAAATTAGCATAGCTTCATCCACATCAATAGAGCTATGCCAATTGACACCAGCTGAGGATCTATTACTATTTATTATTAATAGCTAGATTGTTCATGAATTTCCAGAACAGATTTCAGAAACAAGTTGCCATTTCCCTGTCTCAATATCAGTGATTAGCACTCGTATTTCTCTAACTGGGAATTGACTGTTTACTTCCACTTCCTAAAGGAAGGCCATTCTGATGAAGATTTAGGATGAAATCTTGACCCCAATGAAGTCAATGGCAAAACTCCCATTGACTTCAGTGGGGCCAGAATTTCACCAGGCATTAGGAATCAAGCAGTTCAGATTCCATTAGCATGTATGAGAGGAGGAAGAAAAAGTGATAAATTAAGCCCTATTTTTTTCTAAGGGTTAATTTTATAGGGGCCTATATTACCAATGTATTTTAACAGTGGTAAGGGCCTGATCCAAAGTCCACTGTCTTTCCACTCATTTAAATAGGTTTTGGATCATGTTATCAATGTTCATATAACCAACAAATGTTTAATATAACTTTACAGCGGCTTTGAAAGTTTCTGCTTTTCTCATGCATTCAAATGGGAGCTGCATTTCTTGTGTTTTAATCTATATAAGCCAACTGTCCAGATGACAGCTTCCCATTGACTGTTAATTATACTTAATTTTAAATTTTATTTAAGACACTTAAAGAATTTTGTGTAGTAATTTAATTTTCTTCGTTATTATATGCAGTGGTTAGACTATTATTTTTTATTACATTGCGTTTTCCTTTAAACATGGCAGCTGGGGTGCTTCGAATTCAGCTGTCAAGTTCATTTGCAATATTAATAGTGTTCACCCTCATGAAAATTCAAAAGCAGTATCCAACGCACTCCTCTTTATTAAAGAGAAAAAAAACTCTGTTCTATTTTTGCATAAGATCAGAGAAAGGAACTCAACAGATGCTGTCTTGAAGAAGTGGATGCATGCCAAAAGAGCCAGGTATTAAGATACACAATGTAACAACCGGAAGAGCACTTACTATTGTTAATTTTTATTTTTATTCATTTACCACTAAAGGCTGAGGCTCAACACATTTGCAGATGCTGATTGAAAGGTGAACAAGATCGGTACCCACAGAACCCTGTCTGATCTTATGACACTGGGATAGGACAATATTTGGCTGGGAGACCACCAAGCAACATTCAAGTGCTGAATGAAGTAGCGCTGATGATGCAACAGGTGGCACTCTTCTCCCTGACTCAGTATTAAACTAATACTCCAGTGTGCTAGCTCAGGGAACACTGTGTTTCTGGAAGACCTGTCTTTTGGATGAAATGTAGAACCAACATTCTAATGATTTATGCACATTAAAGATCCCATAGCACTTTTCACGACATCAGTGGTTTTAAGCCCAGCATCCTAGCCCAACTCTGATCTCTCATACCCCCAGTTTACTGCAGTTTTCAGTTGAATACTTCATTCCGCACTGCTTGATCTATATTTTTGTGGACTGTGTGCTGTTAAAACTGCCAAGTTCCACCTCTGAAGTGGCTCAATTTCAGTGGTGGGTGAAGTTATACACGCACACAAACTTATTTGGGTTGGAAGAGCACTTCATGGATCACCTGATCCAGCTGCTACTGAAGTCAAAGGAACAACACCCACTGGGCTAGGGGGAGTTGAATCTGGCCCCTTGTTCCCACAGCCCTAAACTGAGACAGAGCTTTACAAACCTCAGGTAACAATACTGTCACACAAAGTAGCACATGACTTAGGGCTACAGCATGTTGAATATGTTATCAGCAACTGTATTCTAAATACAAGTGTCAGTTGGTTTAGATAGTAAAAGACACATCACAGCCTGAGAAGAGCTTTC